CCCCAAAACCCCAAAACCCCAAAACCCCAAAACCCCTGAAGAGAATTTATTATTGAAATTTGGTAAATTTTGGATTAAGGAAGGGGACTAGGCTAGGAAATCACTGGGGTTTTTGTACAGGAGGTTGTCGAAGTGTAGATCAGCACCATCTTCAGGGAAATAAATGTGCTCTGGGTGGTTTTCATCGATCTTGATCTCTTTTAGATGTACCACAGGGTTGTTCCAGAGGAGAAGAGTGCAGTCTTCGTAAAAATGTGCGTAACTCTTGGCAATTTGATTCTTGATCATGTTGCCTCTGTAATCAATCAGACATGATAGTCTGTAAGAAGATGGATCTTCAGGTTTAGCTCCGAAATCTTTAACTCCTTTTAGGCTGCTGACACTAAAATTTAGGATTATCAAATTTAATTACTTTAACTGTAATGAAGAGATTCAATTGTTCTTAAGGGAGCATATCTTCAAGTTTGGGCACTGGAGAATAAAGGACATCACTAATTTATGAGCCTTGTTGTCTAGCATGCAACTTGCCAAGTTCAAATATTTCAGATGAGGTACAGGATCTGAATACATGAAGTGCTTATATCTATTGGTAAAGATAAACTGAAACCTTACATATCGTTTTCATCATGTTTTTTATGAATGCCAAGCCTAATATTTTGGATAGTGACCAGCTGAGCTTTAGGATGCAGCATTATAAAGATATCATGAACTGAAAAATCTCTGTAAGATATTTCAGTGAGGGCGCTAGAGGAGTTATAGAGCTGCTTACTTCTCTTGAAATATAGCTGTGAAGTTAACTACATGCTGGATCATATCGAGGAGTTCCTTTCTTTCATTCTTAGTGCACTGTGGGTCAATGATGGATATTTCTTGAAGCTCCTTGAAATACTTTTGAAGTAAATTGACAACGTCAGGGATGTTTTTGATCTTTCAATCTTCGATTGTGAGTGATTTGATCTTAGTTAAAATCTTGAGCTTAAGAAGTTTGCCAACTTTCTTGTTCAACTCAGTATCTATGATCTGTAGGGATCTGATAGATTTCAGTAGAGGATCTGAATTTGACAGACTATCTTCCTTGCTATGACTTACAATAGAGGCTTTTAAGTCTATGATAGGGTTATTTAAAAAATTCTTTATCTGATGCTTACCTGAAAGTAGTTCTTTGTCTGTCAAATTCTTGCCTTTGAGGATACAAGCGCTGGCTACTTTTCCTAAAGCCTATTAAGTGCAAATTACTTTTAACTCCTCCCTTATAAGGTCTAAGAAGAGACACAGGCTTGAGTGAAAGTGCTTCCTCTAGTGAAAGTCTGGGATCATCTTCTAAGTCTAAAATCTCACTGAATTCTTTCTGAACTTCCTCGTATATGGCACCTAAACATTAAGTATGATCCAGGACAGCTTCAAGGCTGATATGGCTTTATTGGGAAAACTCGGCCAGGATGCCTGGCTTTCAGTAAAATTTTAAAGTAAGTTTAGGTCACAAGTCGATTTTAACGTACGTAGCTGATCTTCTTTATGAGCCTTGAGCTGGTTGAGGGACATCTTCTCGAGATCGCTAGGGGAAACGTCTTGGAAGGCTATAGTGGACTCCATTTTTGAGTTTGGGTATTTTGAAGATTTATTATTCAATTTTTGCAAATTTTTGCGGGGTTTTGGGGTTTTGGGGTTTTGGGGTTTTGGGG